TGGACTAGTTGGATCATCGCTTTGCAGGTTGCCTTTTAAATATGAAAAACTGTCAGTGCATCTGAATTGGGGTACAGTTCCTTATGTGTGGTGGGGATTAGGATTAATCGCCAAGTAATATCAGTGTGCAACAAGGTTATCCTCTTTCCCGGAATACGATCAATTATCCGGAAAACAGGAAATCGTTGGGTGACTATCTCGGCATCCAACTCAGCCCAAATATCTGAACCAGAGTATGCTGAGGATACTGTGTTTCTAGATATTAATGTCAGTGACATTCAACAGCACTGACTGGTATGCCATAAAACTAGGGCTTAAGATTACTATTTCAGAATGTTTCGTGCGCTTCCGAATCCAACGATCTCCATCAGAGATGAAACAGCCAAGCTAGTAAACCCGGTTTCATTGAACTTCCTAACAGACAGGCTTTTGAAGCTAAACCAACAAAGCTAATCATGCCGGAACGGTTTAGCTCAAGCGGAAAAGACGTAATAGAGTAGTCGCGAAGCTGGTATGCGATCAAAAAAAACCCTGCAATCCACCATCTGCCACTCTACGGTTGGGTCTGACCACCAGTGTATCAGATATCCTGGCACGACAGGCTGTCAGACAGGGCGGACCTGAAAGTTTACAGAGACATCATGCACTTAACGTCGACTACAGTAGTTTGGTCACGTACTTAGCAAAGACAGTATAGGCTTATGCCACTGCCCGCCCCAAGTGACGCGATAACTAAGTAAAAAAATACCTCGATGTAGCGGAAGAAAGCCCTGGCATCATGGTTGTGTGAGTCCCTGTGGGCTACAATGAGCAAAAATATGTATAGGTCACTATTTCGACCTTCAACAGAGGTGACCCGTTCTGGTCAGAACACAGCCATCTAAAACTAAACAATCTCCTCCAGCTCCCGTCAGATGGAGACTACCCGTCAGGCAAGGCTACATATCTCTTTATCTCTATGGCTTCGCTTCCACTAATGCAACTGTGTTGGAATTTCAATACAGTTTTAGTGAAGCGGAAGTGTTTGAAATGCGTGCAGAACATGTTCAGAAACAAAAGACACAGAACAATCATTAACGACCATGGTGATCTTGATCGGTCGCAATCCAGCTTCACTGATCAGCACCCACTCGTCAATTTTCGTCACCACCTTGATATTGCCCATCTTACGCGATTACAAGACAATAGTTACATGCGCCAACCAGTCTTTCAGCTAAGCATGTCTCCATTTCCCAACTGCAATCTTCCTACCCTTCAGGATCATGCGTACAAGCTGTTGGCTACAGTAGAACGTTAACCGGTAACTCAAGTGTTCAAAACAATACCATCCCCAAAAATAACTTTACCTGGTGTCGCGACTTGGAATTGTGGCAAACGAAAATTTATTAGAAACATTTATCTGTCCTTGTAACATTTGGGAAGTGAAATTCATAGTGCTGACGACTAAGTAGACTTCTATGAAGACACAAATCCGGGTTAGAATTTAGATTCAATTCAACCAGCTTATAACTATTACTGCGCCTGGAAGGCTCGTATTGTTATTAGAAGGACCCTTGACGGTAACCAGGAAAAACCGTGTGGTCAAGAAATACGACTTCAATGACTAGAACAACTTCAGGGAACGCTTCTGAGTCCCAAGTAATCTTGTGTGAAGGACACGACCACCGCTTCTCGAGGGACTGAGCATCTAGAGACGGGGTGTGTCGCCACACCATCATACAAAGCTATTAGGGTGTTAGCCGGTTTTCTGAGAATGAAGGTTTGGGAAGATAATGGATGTTCTGGTGTATGAATGATTCCCTTCCAGGATTTTCACCTACGATAATCACACCCCAATTTACCACGGAATTGTCACTACAAGTCCGATGGCATATGAAAAATAAAAGATAATCGTTCAGATATAACACCCTTCCGGTGACTAACTGCCATGCCACCCGAAGGAAACACAAGATCTAGGATAGTTCCAGGTTGTCCAATTCAAGACAGGGGAAGTCGAGAGGCAGAGGTTGGGTTTGAACCACGGACCTTCCGGTCGGAAATTCGCGCTCCGAGTCATCTCATCCGGAGGCATGGTCTTAGGCTTTTTTCTAATGCGCCATTAGTTGACCAAGGTAACACAAAATAAGCTTTCTCCATCATATTCATCTGCTTGAAGCTCCAAGGGAGTTGATTCATAACTCAAGCCATTCTCTCGACCAAGGATGTCTCCTCGTATTTGTGCATTCTGGATGTGGCGCGTACTGTAACAATTGCCGTGGGAATCAGAGTGACATCTAGCCAGAAAGACCTGTGTAACTTGGTATGGCATGAGCTTCACACCTGCAGTATAAAGTGCTACTGCAAAACTGGATAGACTTGATCTCCAAACTCATGTTTCGGACGAGCCGATCAAGGTAGTGGAAAAGCCTCCTGCCTGAGCAGCTGTATCGGTCCCGATGGTCTAACCAAATACTATGCTTCCATCCAGATTAGGAAGGCCAGAGCAGCTGTGGTGAAGCTGCTGTGGCGTAGACGTGACATTAGCTCATCTGTCAAGGGTCTAGTTTACAATGCGACGGCTCACTGCATATTATTACACGGGTCAAAAACCTGGTCGCTGCACGTTGGGGACGTCAGAAGATTTTCAGTGTTTGAAGATCACCGTCTTCGGAGTATTCCTCCAGTGGGAACTCTGGGTCAGCAATTGAAGTAGGTCGAATGGTTTTCGGAAAGAACAACTCGCCCATAATAGATGAAATGATCACACTCCATAGGTTGCGCTGGCTTAGTCAAGTGGTCCGTGTGCCAGTCAACTGACATCCTGTACACCCACCATGGGAAGAGTGGAAGCGAGTCAAGGTAAGTCTAACAATGACAAAAGCCACTAACAGCTAGAATAGCCGCGCTGGCCATAGCCACCTCTCTGGATGGAGACACATCAATGGCTAGAGGCACTGTCAGGCATGGCCCAGTTGAGCGCATGCACCCAAGCTGTTACCTTATTGCACGACTTCTCCCGATCTCAAGACTACCGAGACTCCTGTATTGGCGGTGGCTGCAACCTTCAAAGCATAGCTATATGCCCGTAACTCCCCAAACCCTCGACAAACGAAACCGTGGCAGTTATAACCAAACTACATGTATGCGGTTCTTACACCTGAAGATGATAATAGCTAGGCACCGAGAGATGTAACTGAATGATTATTTTATTGGTAAATCATTTCAGAACCATAGCTCGTGAAGGCTGGTGTTAACAAATCCGGAACGAAACAACGGTCAGAGAGCGGGTGTTAGATCGTGTAAGGTGGGAATCATCAGAAGAAAGTATACCATCAAAAGCTGAGGGTTTGGTTATTCATTGCGCATATAACAATCGCCCACCCGAGTGCTGTCTTCCTTGCCCAATCCTGAGCAGCACAAGTAGAGGTGGTCAATCTTTGACCCGGAGGAGGGGCACGAAATCAGTTATGAAGAATATGGGTACGGTCGATGCGATTCACCTTCCAGGGTGGAGGCCACGTGATCACTCATGCACATGGTTGGAGGCGTTGCAGGTAGGATGGCCAGTAGTTGTCAGTGATACTTTTACCGGTTTCCATCCCCACTTTCTGAATGGGCGCCTGGAGATTTAGACAGTTTGGGATGATTGTAGTACGCCAGCACCGGGCCTCCTCTCCATAAACTCTTACTATTTCCTTCACAAGACTCTCAAATAAATTAATGGTTATATGGCACCGAGACACCGGCTTTGGCACTGATGTGCCGTCGGTGATAATCAGTTTCTTACTGACAAGCACAACGCATTGAAGATGTTTGGAGGGATTCGACCGCACCCGTTTGATTATTGCAAGTCAAAACCACACCACCAATGCGGTAAGTGACTGACAAGTGATCTACACGCCAGTACCCAAAGTGACACTAGTCATCCAATCCGTCAACTCGTCCGCGATCCTAAGCTCATCTATATTCCCAAGGGAGGAATCACTCGGAGCCCACACAATTAAGGTCCACCAGAATTTGGCAGCTACTTCAGCATCGGCAACTCCGTGGCACAACGCTCAACTCCCAGCCAAAAGTGTGCCCAAGCTCCACTCGCGATAGACTAGCCAGGTGTTGAAAATCCCCGAACGCATGTGGTGACCAAGATCGCTGTTGCATTAAATCATATCGGTGATGTGAGACAGAACAGATGATGCATTCAGCTTAACATAGTTGGGCCGTCAAGCGCGAAACTTCTAACTGGTGGGTCTTTGGTACCCAACTTTGGTTTTCGACTGTTATTGAGACGCTGCTTCAAACTTCTCTGCCTGCCTCTGGAACCTCAAGAGTCGAAATGCTCCCGGGACATTCCCTCACAGGTATCGAGTATGCAGACGACATTGCTCTCCTTGGTTTAGATCCTTCCCAAATGCAAACGATTCTAAATAACCTAAACAACTCTGCCGAATGGTGTGGCACGCGCTTCACATCTGCAAAGTGCTACTACAGGATTGAGTGGGATCAAACCCACGCCTCATAACTGCAAGTGAGCCAATCAACGTCGTGGACAAATCTGTTTACCTGAGCAGCTGTACAAGTTCCGGTGGTCTGGCTGGAGAGGAGGGTACTTCTCGAATAGGAGAGAGCAGGGTAGCTTTTGCCAACCTCTGACACCGACATGACGTGAGACCAGCTGTCAAAGGAAGAGTTTACACTCAGGCAGTGCGATCCATAGTGCTTTATGGATCAGAGACGTGGCCCCTACGCGCAGAGGACGTACGGAAAATGTCAGTGATTGATCATCGGTGTCTCCGAAACATTGGTCGGGTCTGGTGGGAACATCGGATTAGTAAAGCTAAGGGAAGCTAGATGGTCTTAGGAAAAGGAGCTCTCCCGCGATAGAGGAATTACTCACGCCCCGTGGGTCGCGCTGGTTAGGACACGTACTCTTCATGCCAGACGACCGTCTACCTCACAGCTTCTTTCTCCCAGCTTTGTGCTGAGTGGAAGCTACCGAGAGATGGACAGTGTATGAATAAAGCATGAAGACACTAACCAGTAAACTTAGTAGGGTGGGCAACTGCCGCCTCCCTGGATGGGGACCCGGGGACTTAAATCACCAGTGGTAAGTGACTCCGGCGGAAATAAGCCAGTCGCGCTCGTGCATCAAACCTACCGCCTTCAGTGTGTAGATACCCGAACCAACTGAACATGCCTCCGCCTCCAAGGCTTGGTTGTACATTCCACTTTCCCGTTTTCCGGTGACTGAAACTGTAGCAGATGGAACAAATGTGTCTACGGTACACGGTTTATAGCCGATAAACTGAATTGATTGATTGATTCCGACTGCTGCTCTCTATGCTTGGATGAATGGCAGGCCAACACAAATTATCAACGAGCCGTTGTTTCCGACAGCACAGTGCTCGGCTAGAGACATTAAGGGACACAGTTTGTAACCAAGGTGTTTTGTTGCTACCAGACCCTCTGTCTACCTATGTGCATGGGCACCCGGAACGCATCAAGGGATTATCTTATCACCTTCCACAAAAAATTAGCGTCATCACGGAGAGCGACAAATTAGTAGTGTGAAGTCCAGAATAACAATGTGATTCTGCCAACTATGATTGGCCTCCATAAATAACCGTGCGCAAGCGTTACGGCGACTCCAGCGTTGCTTCCAAATTTTTTCACTCACATTACTGCTGTTCCAAAAGCAACACTTCGAGCCCGGTGCATCTATTCCTGTTAGTCCACGTCAAAGCACTTATGTTTTGTTCCCGTCTGAGCTCAGCAGTGCGTCTTTGGCCGTGCTGAGGTTTGAACTCTTAGAACCCACTACACAAAACAACCTTACCGTCACGACCAGTTACGGCGGACCAAACTCCTTAGGACAAATATCAACACAACGAGCAGCCACGGATGTTTAGACTCTTGAAGCGGTAGAGCAGGCATCTGCGAGCTTGCTAGAACACTTCCGACCACGTACCACTCAGGAACGCTAGCTCACGAAACCCGGATAGCTGGGAATTAACCGGACCTACTTAGTTCACGTCTGTTCGAGTTTGTGATAATCAAAAAAACAGTTGCCTGGATTTTACTTTATTGAATATGCATAAAACAGACCAATTAGAACAAAATATCGAGGGAAGGGTCACGAAAAAAGCAGCACCGCATAGACGGACATTTGAGACGGACAACTGACGAAACGGAGCAACCGAGACGACAGTTTAAAACTTCGCACCTAGATGGCATGTGACATATAGACAGAAGCGTCCAGATAGAAAGATGCGACCGCAACCTAACCACAATTCGGATCAAACACAGCTCAGTTGAAGGTTGATGGATGTGTGTACCTGGAAAAAATTAAAAGAAGTTACCGACAGGATAGCGAAGCGGACAGTGATAGGTAACAATGCGCTTCTACATAGAATCCTAAATAATCACTCCAATGAAGAACAAAGTATTCACACAAGTTTTCCGGAAATAAACATTAGGGTTAACAGTAGACCAAAGAATGCACCCATGCCGTTACTGTATATCTCAAACATTTGAGGTAGGGGAATTCCCTTCCACATTCCTGAATGTTCTAGCGAGTCCCGATTATGCGTCAAAAGCTGTTACAAGTGTCGATTTACAGGAAATCGCCTATACTCCCCACTCGATCCACTCTCTGAGCCAACTAACATAGACTTCAGTGCTGATGCCAGTCTTCCCAATTGAGTTTGAAGTACAATTCCAAGCGATATGTTCTTGGTCAAAAATGTACTCTCAGTAATGACCCATCAAGCTAAAACCAACCCTCAGAGTCGTAAAAATCGGACAATCATGATGAAAAACGTATTGCACATTCACCACTACATCCGTTTAGTGCTGACGAAGACATTCCTGTTTGGAAGTATCCTGGTCCTCGTGCTTCCTTGTGTTGACACGGCAGTTAAGAACCGAAAGGGTACTACAGCTGAACGATTTTTTTGACGAATGAATTAATCGTACAGACTTAGACTGAGTAAGACTTTACCAGTTCGTTGTGCTACTGATGGCGCATCAGGCTGACACACAACACACAAGGCAAGTGCAGTTTACCGCCCAAGTAGGTTGTACTACAGCTAACGATTTTTTGACGAATGAATTAATCGTACAGACTTAGACTGAGTAAGACTTTACCAGTTCGTTGTGCTACTGATGGCGCATCAGGCTGACACACAACACACAAGGCAAGTGCAGTTTACCGCCCAAGTAGGTTGGCAATGGAAAACTGCTACCTGTTTTGCTGATCTCCCACCCGCGAAATTAACGACAGTAAGATATGGGTTGGAAAATAGAGCCGAACTCAGTTTACAGGGAATAATCATGGCTAAAGTTTTAATAAAGACGATTCTACGGACAGTTTCAGAAGTCACAAACTAGGGACCACGTCATACCTAGCATTGCCCAAACGAACCGATAAACGTTGAACACTGGCCAGTCAACCTGCTAAGACACCCTAGGTACCTGCGCTGAGAAATGCCGTCTATGCTCCAAAAATGGCTAAGTCTGGCTAGCTTGAGACAGCTCAGTTGTCAAGGCACAAAACGACCGACCGAACGGTCCGAGGTTCGAACCCAGCTTCAGCATCCCGACTGCTCAAGTGGTTCCCTAGGGTCGCACGGCAGGTGAGCACCAATGGGCTGTTACATCTGAACGGCTGTTTCAAGTTTGTCTAGATTTTACAATGAAAATAATTCCAGTCCGTATTCCACCATTTTCTTAACAGCTAAAAACAGAAACCAACTCACTTTTGATTAGCAGTTGGTTGTGAAGCGACGGGCGAGAAAGTGAAAGGATTAAGCGAAGCCCCTGTCTGGGACATTGTGGGCGAAATCAGGTGGTTTTGAAATCCATTTAACGCCTGCTGATATTGCTGCTGGAATAGCCCAAAGTGCTGCATCAGAGCGTATGCGGCCGAATGAGAATGATGAATCCCACCTCCGCCGTTCAATGTCGCATTCTGCATGGAGTAATTGAAACCCGGCGGTGTTGGTAAAAGACCCGTATTGGCTGCATTCGTGTGTGAAGGAAACAGGGGTACCGGCTGATTTGTAGTACGGGGGTTGAAGAAAGAAGGGCTACTTGCAGAAGTGGTCAAAAGGCGTGGTTGTTGCGTTTGTATGACTGGGCGTGCCAAATTTGGCGTAGGTTGTGGTTGCTGTTGGAGCTTCTGTGCCACGTTTACAACGGCCAAACACTGACGAGCGCTACCATTATGTGTAACACGAGGCTGCACAGCACCGTTACTGGTCAACGAAGATGTTACAGTGGATGTCCCAAAATCAGAAGCCAAAGCTGGGGTAGCCTGTATGGACATTAACGGCGTGGCAGTTGTCGCATTTATGTTTGATCCTGGAGACTGTCGAGGCAAAGAATTCCCACCATGCCCGTTGCCAGAACCCGAAGTTCTGGTGTTCCTGACAGAGGGAGACATACATGAGGAGTCAGCAGTGCTGTACAACAAAGCCTGTGAAAACTAGCATCAAGACCCGATCGTGCGGTACGAAGTCGATTTCAAATGCCTCAAAGATACGGGAAAAAGTACTAGCTACTCACACGAGCTTCAAGATGTCCGCATCCCCAAGTACTTACCCAAACGTCCTGGATTGACTAATAGCAGGCATGCCACACATTGACGACATCTAACGTCCCAACCAAGTTAGCGAAATGTTTCGACAAGGGTGGTTTATCGCCGCAAGGAAGGATCACGGATATTCTATCATGGGATGTGGACCGTGCCTCCACAACTAACGCAGTGTCCTTTGCCTACCCTACCAAATTTTCGCTGTCTAAACTTCGTTCAAGTTTTGCACAATGCACGGAAACATTTCCAGCCTGGACAGATCATTCGGTACGTGCAACAGTTGACTTCAAGACCAAGACACAAGTTGCGAATTAAATGCAAGAATCGAGATATTTCAAATACTGAGCAGCAAACTCGAATAAGCGCATATCGATCGGGTGTTAAAAAAGGGCTTGTGTTCAGACTCACGTTTGAATCTCGTCATTAAACAGCCACATCGGCAATGGTGCCCTGAAGTACAACTATAAAGTTCACTTGCTTACATTCAAAGCCTTACAGTGGAGAAACAGTGGACGGGAAAGGACCTGGTACTCGTCTTTCTACAGGGGCATTGTTGCAAAAATATGTGGCGCCCATAACCGCCATTCCGCGGAGAAAATTTGAGGGCGTTTGACAAAGTTGACGGATTCGAGCAGGCCACCGGCTTGTTCGGTGTGAAAGGCAGAGGGTCAGTGACATGTTTCAACGGCTTCCTCGCGGATAAATTCGTTCGCATGTTTAACAGAGACGGTTGAATAGCCCTGAGATTTGAAAGTTTCCAACGTTGTGATTAACCTAAATCAATAAAATTTGGACTTGCCCTAAATGAGCCATGGATATGCACAAACTGCCACACCGATCCCAACGTATCACAGCGAATCGTGTGACAGCCTCATTAGGTTTCAAAGGAATTACGTGAACCTTTATCGCCGAACGGGTGTTTCCGCCACAAGTCGAGTGTTTTGGCTGCACATCGACAAGTTTCGTATGCCTTCTATGTCTAAAGACCGGAGTTGACAGTATTCTGCCGGTAGAACGCAACCCGAATACTTTAGTGCGAACACCTTGTGCGTTTTTAGTGGGCTAAGAGTGCGGCAGGTCACTCTCACCCCCATCTTAGCAGGTTTCAACGCTGGCGTTGGAGACTACCTTTCAATGGGTAAAACACAAGCCTGAAAGCAAAACCACAAGCTACATAACAGAAGACTTACCCTTTCGTATTGGACGCGTCGTCCACATCGGCGTCGGAACTGTCTGAGCCTAGTATTCGTCTTCTGGCAGCCGCATAATCAGCCTCCCTTTGCTCCAAGGTCTTGACCGTCGTTGGCGGCCTAAAGTAAGTACTCATAGAGTGACCACCTACTTTAAAATTTGTGAAGTTTGGTTATCTGAAGTCTGGCATGGTCTCTGAAGTATACGAATAGGCGGATTTTCCATATCAAATTAAACTACAGACGATGAACAGGGGGTGATGTACCAAACCTTCTACGATTGAGTCCAGTGATATCCATGCGCCCTCCTTTTGATGGACCATAACGTACTCGGAAACGTTTCACTCAACATTTGCTGGACGAAACTATATGAAGAAGTAACGACAGGACATACCGGGACGGCTCGGAAGCCAACATCCGTGTTGAGCGCCCAAATTCAGGGTGTCACTGGTTCAAACAACTTAGATGTCTTCGGAATGATGACCTTGATGGGCACCATGAGAGTCCGAGGGTATCAGTTTCTCCATCCGTTTCCTGCTTACATGGAAGACTTTCACCTCCTGATGCCTTCCATGAAAGATACGAGGCTGTAGAATCTTGCAGATTCGGCAGGCCCACACCTAGGATGTGAACGCGGTGCAGCAGTCCATGGACGGTTATCTGTGATGCCACATTTATGATAAAAGGATTTCTTTTCCATGTATCCTGCCTAAAATTGTATTATTTATCATGGTCCTATCCATCATCTGCTTTGTTCCGCTGTTCGTTTCGCCCGTTTTTCATTTCGTCCTCGCATCCCGCAGTTCTTCCATTATCTCGTCCATAATTTCCCAAAATGAAGAGGTGCGCAACACTGGTAGAAAAAGGACACAAGGAAGAGCGGAGAAATACTACCTGTCCCTTAGTGGGGAAAAGGATGGCTGTTGAAATTTTAGCCCGTGCCAATTACCTCCTAAAAACTTTCCCCATAAAGTGCGTATTTTCAGCATGCTCTCATACTGGCTAGTACCGATCACATCACTTACCAATGTTGTGTTATACAACGTAAAATAGTGCCCGCCCTGTAAACGATTGCCACTTTGCGAGAAAATCGGAGCCCGAAGCGCTACGTTTCCCTGAATTTACCGTGAAATACTGGCATCGTGCGAACCGACCTCAAAGTTAGCTGTGCTGGACGAAAATGATCCCCATAAAATTATTACTACAGTTTTATTTTCTAACAACCGGTTTCCCAAATTTCCTGACTATCAGTTACGAATATTTCAATGAAAGATCAGAACGGTTTTCTCCTATTCTCACGCTGGAAAAAAAGGCCTCAATTCTACGCCATGAATTTCTGATGGATGATGCAAAAATGCCAGTCGTGCATCAAGGCGCAAAGTTCCGATACCCATTGCACATTCCACACATTGTTTATCCTTGCGAAAACGGTTGCTAGTGTCTTGGAAATGCTAGAGTGCCTCAGACCTCCTTTGACATAGTAACCGCGTATTCCGGAGGTGCGTTGGAGTTTTACTCATTGTGTGCTGGGCTGTCGAACCTCTCAACGCCGACTCATGAACAATTCCAGTCAAGCCGTCCTTGGAAAACGGCCGCTCTTCACCTTAGAAGGTAAGAATTCAAGTAGGCACGTCGATGCAGGCCATAGGCGTCGTAGAGTATCTTCAGGCTATCCCAGGTACATTGTTTTTTGACAGACGAGAAGCCAGTTTTTTCCATTTGTGGTTCGTGGCGTCGCGAGGTAAATAATTCAACCGAGGCCAGTCCAACACCTGCAGCAACAAAAGGAAATTAGTAGTGCCTTTTGGATTCCTAGTCTTAAAGGCCAGGCTCAGAACCACCGGCGATGGGCGATTCATCCGAGCTACTGGAGGGATGGCGGGTATGCTAATGCGCCATGATGTAACGTAGTAGGGCAACCGTCCCTGCGGGGTGTGCCCGTCCACCACACGAGTTTTCCATTCCCCGTGCATGCTACCAGATCTGCAAGGTGGAAAATCGTACAAGCGGTTATAAATGCGGTTTGTGCAATAACAATCACTCCGGCTACATTTTTTCCCGGTCGTGAGGAAGCAAGACCAGTCCAGCCCATCGGAACTAGCAAACAGCATACAGACGCTGGTAAAGGTAAGTCGCGTGGGAGACCAGTGGCACCGCGGTACGTTCGAAATCGGTTTCGTTTTTCCCTCGTGCAAATTCGTGAAATTTTTTCGTTGTTCAATCTACTCACAGAGTACAGACGAGTAATTGTTGAATTTTATTACTCCAACAAAACATTTGAGTGATAACCCTTTATATTTTGCGCACACTTCCTACTTTACATCTAGTCCGAAATAGAACATCAATTTATACCGATTGCCCTCCGAAGCCATTGATAGACCACAACAGATGTGGGCGAAATGTCTGCCCGTCGAACGTCAAACGCGGTATGCAATGCCACGCCTGCAAAGCTTGGTGGCATTTCAAATGCACGGGTTTACAGGACGACCAGATAAGCTGACTAGCCAACTCTCCTGACCCGTTTGTCTGTGCCAGCTGCCTCTACGTCAAGGGTGCAATGCATACCGCAGCGAAGAGAAGAGTCCCCCGAAACAGTACCCAATCCCCAGTGCAGATTCCGAAAGATCACTGTCGGTGTTCCGCTTTGATCGGGATACTCGACACGAAATTAGAGCGTCTTTCGAAGGCATTGGAGGACTCGGGCGCTAAGAATACAGCGACCTGGGCGCAAGTCGACAAGGAACTTTCCTCGCTGAACCAATACCTCGCGATGTCCATACCGGGTCCCATGCCTGCGAAAATAATCATGCAACTTTCTGACGTGGCTATGAAAACCGCCACAGCGTCTCTAGTGGACAGACACCTAAGGGAAAACAGGCTGATAATCTGGGGTCATTCTCCGGAAAAATCACGCCAGCGAAACTTGCACAGTCAATCCTCAGCAAGCCTGATAATTCGCTCCATGCAGAATGGCTACGCCAGAAGGGAAGTAAGCGAACCCTTGGACTCCTAGTCACTCTTTCTTCCCCGTCCGACGTACAGGAAATCTTGGAGCGAGCTGGCAGCATTCAAAAGGCCAACCCAATGATCAGGCGCCTATCTGAGGATCGTCCTCTAGACGCGCGTAAGCTTGGTCACAACAGGTCAGGAGTGGAAGTACGAAACAGGCTTCCACCGGGCAGCAAACCAGACGACTCCAAACTCACGACCAAGCCGATTGTGGCCATATCCCCCTGTGCTCCCGAAAGCAGGCCGACGAAACCAGCTGCTGCTCCACCACAGGCCTCTCGCCCACCAAATGCAGGGACGCCCTGGAGGAGGCAAACTCACATGCAAGCAGCGCCCAAACTACGTGGAGCTATCAACGCTTATCTCCGCATCAGAGGGCACAGCTGCAGCCGCGCACTCGTCAACAAAGTCACAGCCTCTGAACGGAACTGAGTCAGATGTGCCGGGACAAGAAGCGAAGCCAATCTTCAGCTCCACTCCTTCAAAAGCGGTCTCTCTGTTTGTGGTCACAACCGTCGCCCAGGACCCCGACACCATCCGGAAAATCCGCGAAAACGAGCCTCTTAGGAGCGCCACCCAAATCATTACTTCTTGATGCCACCACCTAGCGCTCAGGGCCTCACGGAGACATTTTTCCGGTCAAACCGCGCCAAAGCACCCAAGGATCCAGAAAGGCGAAGCTTGCAGCAAATCTTTGATCAACAATAAATCTAGTCGACGAAAAGGGGGTGCTGAATGAGCTACAAACAGCATTGGTCGAAATTTTTGCCCATGGGAAAAAAATCGTCCCCCAAAGCCAAAAGGTCTGAGCAAACCGAGCTCCCACGGAACGAAAAAACCCCGCAGGCAAAAAGCACCCCCAGAAACCACATAGACAGGAGGAGGGCAGCATCGCCTCAGAGGCCCCTTTGGAGCCTTGGACTCAGTCTTAAACCCGGTGCACAACCATTAATTCTGCTAACCACCCTGGGCACTCAACTTTCGGCTCCTCACCCTCGGAGGCAGCAGCGACTGTTGAAATGCTTGTCCACAAACTGCCTCAGCCCTTTCAACAAACTCGGCGATGTTAAACAGTCAGCTTGCCTTGAGCAACCGTCCATAATCGCACTCACAGAGACCTGGCTCACGCAGCGCTGTTAGAAGTCGTTCAACAGAACGCTTGGACTCAACATGTCGCTGCACCCACCAGATACCGCGCAGGCCAACTACCATCCCTCTTGGATTTGGGCATCACCAACGAAAGACACTTACTACATCATGTAACCATTAACGCTCCACTGGGACATAGTGACCACTGTGTGCTGACCTTTGATTTCATCTGCTATTGGGCCACGAACCCCAAACCTCAAACGTGGTTTCGAGACTTCTGCCTGCAGACTTCTCAGGAATGCGCATCTTCCTCGAACAAGTCACAGTGGGACCAGCTCCGGTGGAAGAACTATATAGAACCATTGTTCAGAAAGTTCACGAGGCTGACGAGACGTTCGTCCCAAGAAAACCGGCACGCACTCGGATGAACCGCAGGATGCCTAAAAGCATCCGGCGACTTCTGGAAATAAGATCCCAACTATTTTTTAAATGTTGACCACAGGGGATACAGAAGAAAAGCTGGCATTTCGTAAAATGCGGAACCGCTGTAAATCAGAAATCCGCCATACGGAAACAAGCCACCATTCTGGATCTCGCTCGAAAAAACAAAAACGTACTGTTCAAGTACATGAGACATCCCCGCAGAAACAAACCATCCGCGTTCTCCTTGAGAGACAGAAACGGAGAACCGACAAATGACCCAACAGTGGCATCTGAGGCTTACAGAGAACACTATGCGTGCTTAAACTCCACTCTTCTCAGGGCGAAATTACGAACAGACTCTAGCCGAATTGGTCTTTACGGTGGAGGATATTCGTCAATTCTTGCACAAGATCAACCCATTCCGCGCGTTGATGCCCGACGAGGTTTATCCAAGGATCCCGAAAGAAACGTCCTCCACACTGGCAAACCATTTACACTTGGTGTTTCATCAGTCGCCTGACGAAGGCCGCCTTCCCTCTATTTGGAAGGAAGCGATTGTCACGCCAACCTACAAAACTGGTGACTGACTATCGCCTGGCAGCTCTAGGCCTCTATAAGCCTCACTAGCCTGCCGCGCAAGGCGATGGAATGCATTCTGAAGCGAGCTATCCTAGTTCACCTTACTTCCAGCAATCTGATATCTCCAGCTCAACACGGATTTCTCCCAAACCGCTCTTGCGTGACAAACATGCTCGTGTTTATGGAGAGCTTAACCCAAGCCAAGGACGAAGAACTCATATCGGATGTCATATTTTTCGACTTCTCAAAAGCATTTGATAGGGTCCCACACGTCCCGCTGCTCCACAAACTCGAGTCTTACGGGATTCAAGGGAAAATCCTTCGCTGGATCAAGGCGTTCCTATCAGACAGGTCATTCCGAGTGAGAATAGGCTCAACCTATTCCTCTCCAGCGCCGGTCTTCATTGAGGTTCCTCAAGGCTCCGTCTTGGGACCACTCCTGTTTCTGATCTACGTCAACGACCTCCCAGACGTTCTTGCGAGTCCATGTTTACTTTTTGCGGACGACTTGAAATCCTGGAGTTCCAATGCCAGCGCCCTCCAAATGGATGTAGACGCTGCCAAGCAGTGGTCGTTGGACTGGCACCTTCCTCTGAATGATGAAAAGTGCGTCCATGTGTCGTTTGGAGGGGATTCAGCGAATGCCTTTGTTATGCATGGTGAAAAGGGACCAGAAAACATCATGAGGATAGATGCCAAAAAAGATTTGGGTATCTGGGTCTCCTCAAACTTGTCCTTCTCACTACACAGTGAGAAATCGGCCCAAAAGGCATTCGCCGTTTTACGGATGATCCGACGTACCTTCTCCCGTATTACTCGCATTGACTTCCAAATGCTCTATGGTACCTACGTCAGACCGCTCCTGGAGTACGCCAACCAAGTCGTCTACTCAGGACGTACGAAAGACGTCACCCTCATCGATCATGTCCAGCGGACCGCCACGAGAATGGTTGCCGGCCTCAAATCCGTGGACTACGAAATGCGTCTCGCGATTCTTGATCTCTTTCCCCTGGAGTACCGTCGCCTCCGAGGGGACCTAATACTTATTTACGCCCTGTTTGAACAAAGCTTGGCAAACAGGTTTTTTTAACGTTGACCCAGCAAACACCCGACGGGGACATAATAAGAAAATTTTCAAGCTGAGGGCACACACATTCATTAGACAAAATTTTTTCATTTCGGGTAGTAGCTGCGTGGAATGGCCTCCCTCCGACGGTTGTACACGCTCCGTCTAGAACCCAATGTAAAGCACTATTAGACATTTACTTATGCGAAGTCTCGTGCTGGCACGCATACTGCCCCGCGCTGAGATCATAAAGAGCAATGCTACACCTTTTTTCACTTGTGCTTTTCCGGTGAACGACAGCCACTGACCGACAAGAACAAAACCGACCCCGGGAACTTGGGCAAAAGCCTCGATCCTGTGTATCAATACGTTAATCCGTGAATTCGTGACACCTCTCAATGAGACAGTGAGAGTGGAATGGTGATATTCACGGCGATTACGCCATGGCTAAATTGCGCCTTAGCGTTGGTGTGGGCTAGCGCGACAAGCAGAAGCTTACCACAATGTTGTGTGTGTGTTTAGTGGACTGCGGGGCAAATCATCAGATGGATTCATATAAAAGCGTGGAATGCGCTCTTGTCATGAAGAAAAAAGCTAACTTTGTTTCGGTTTTTGTCAGTTAGACTTAGCCAGTGTGCAATGGTCACCAGGCAGAGCTGCCAGAGTACTCCTGGGTAGGGACCAGAATAGAACGAGGTATAATTTGGCTGGGAAAAATCCTAAACAACCAGGCCAGTAACACAGCATTTTTAGATCAAGTAGGCCTTAAGTACTACATTAGCTTGAAGCAAGTCAAAAGGATAGGAATGAATGATAACAGGACCTTTTCATGACCCACTAATTGTATCATCGCTAATCTCAAATGGACCCGATTCGTGGAGGAGGTCGTAGGTAGGTGGATATTAAGTGAGGCAGCAGCAGTTGCACAGGTAAGGAATCTGTCTTCTGACCGAGAAAAGGTATGGTGATGCCTGATGTTTCTCAGCTGCTCAGGGGGGCTGTTCCAGATGCGAGCTTAATAAACTAGAAAAAAGTGGTGGCGCAAGTTTGTACGAGCCGGGGGGCACACTAAGATGTTGCAGGAGTTACGAAGTCTGTATATGGGTCGGGAGTTTACATTTGGTCTGGCCTCTTCTATAAGGGCGTTTTTATGCACCAGACGGCGTAAGACAGTTAGATTCATCTTTGACCGTCTGAGCCATGATTGTCCGAGGCCTAGGATTTGACAGCGAAAGCGGTGAGAGAGGGGGTTGGACCAAGGGCACAGCTTTTTCTCGAATGAGCTTTGGACACTCAATTGCGGTTTTGCAACTTTGGGTATAAGGCGAGGAGAATGAGGGATAGAATTCCC